AGTTTGGTTTTGAGGTAGTCCAAAACGAGTTTTACGACAAGTCGGCGCTTTGCGACAATATGAGTCGACAAGTTCCGAACAGAAAACCGATCTGTGGAGACTCGTCATCGGAGATTTTTTTTTGTTTTTTTTGAGAACAGGCGAAAAATAATGCGCGCGCGGATGTCATCCATAAAATTAAATCGGTGTAGCCTTATAAACAAACAAAAAATGGAAATCATGTATACACCTAAATAGTCGCATCCAATTATATTTTTTCCCTAGCAGTCAAAAAGCTCACTCAACATGATTTGGGGGATCCTATTTAGACTCAGTCCTGGCAGAGACCCCACAGTATTTGGTTTGTGTAGTTGTATTCAAGTGTATGTTGTATTCTAATCATCCCCTAAAGTACTGTCATTTTTTTTTTTCACTTTCAGGATTTAGCCAACCAAATGGATATAGCTGAAACGAGACGGCTAACACTCTTAAAAGATTTTCTTCCACATTGAGAAGACATTGCTGTGATCCATGTAAATTAAATCTCAGATGACCAGGCTTGTATCGGTGATGGGGGAATACAGTGATGTACTATAGCTTCCTGCAAAATATTAGTTTGATAGAAAGCCTACAAAATGTGATTGAACAGATCTGTCGTTTTACTAGTTGGCAGATTATAGTACTGTGAATTGCTTTATTTAAGCCTGGATTTATTTTCATTTGGGCTGGCACATTTTTTTTTAATTCACTGAATTGTCATAGCAATGGGAAACGAATATTCCCATTCTTTCAGTGAAAATAACAGTAAAATACAGTATTCTGGGGTCCATGTCATCAAAACATCTACATCCGCACTAGAAGTGTTAAATAACGAGAATGTACCAAAATCAATAAACTGCCAACATGCCATTCACTTATAAAGTATGTGTTTCACCAATTTTAATTCCATTGGTAAATTATTACTAAAATCAATATGTGTGTGCAGCTTTGCTTTGAATTTCATTTTCTATATCTTCCCAAAATTCACCCAAACGGTGTGTTATTTGTTTTTTTTAATTATGATACAGATACTGTAGAATACTTTATTTTCGCTTGGAATTTATTTTCGCTATTTTCACTGAAGGGATGATTCCGTGAAAATAAAATCCAGCGAATATACTTTTTTTCTTATATTTCACATTAAATTCATGAAAAATCAGTGAAAATAAATTCCAAGCAAAACGTCCAAAAAGCCTTTTCAGCGAAAATTAATTCCAGCGAAAATAAAAGTATTCCACAGTAATAAAGGTCATTCTAGTTTTTACTTGAATGATGATGTTTCTGTAATGAGTGTACAAGTTAATCTTGTGTGGTCCCTTTCAACAGAAACTAACAGCTTTAACAGTTTTATGCAAGTTATGCCTTGCTGGTATAGTTGAATGTGCTATGTAATCCTAACTTTTGTGGTACTCTATCATTTTGCATATGTGCATTTCTCATTGGAGTTCTGGTAACAGTTGTCCTAAAGCCTACTCTAATTTTGTATTACAGTTGCACTTTGAAAGCTTTATTCGGGTCTTTGCATTATTATGTGAAATATTTGATGGTCTGAATTTGCATGGATTTGTGAGATGGATTTCATAAATGTGCAAATTCCAATAATGTGTTTGAACACTGATAACTGTTTGATTGTGTGTTCAAATTTGCTTTGCTTTGCCTAAAGTTTTTGAATCGTGTGCCAAAAAACATGGACTCACAATGATTCATTTTTGTTCCAAATTACTCACTGTAATTTTTTGCATACTAGTTCCAAGACCGCAAATAAAGCTTCATGAATGATCTCAAAGTGCAAGTTTGATATTTGATTTTCTCCACAAAATGTTCGGAGTGATTTAAAAAAGTCTTTGTGGCCTAGAAACAAGTCTAAATTATACATATGTGAACAGATGTGGGAGTTGATTATTCCAAAACAAAAGTGCTCAATACAAAGTATATGTAGAGCGGCGGATAAATACGATAATAGAGGAATTAAT